GTTGATGATTGAGTAGATTCTAACACGTGAGTTGACCCTAAATGCTCCACGTCTCTTGTTACATATCCACCAATATATTCCTTCAATTCTCTCTCTAAGAGATTACTACAATTTGATTTTTTTATCAAATTGTGGCACTCTTTGATCACAAGTTAAATATAGTTTAAAATAATTAGAAATCAATAAAATTTGATATTTTAAAATTATATTTTAACATAAACTCAATTTTACTAAATATATTTTTCCATATTTTGAGGTCAAATGATGCCACAATTTAACTAAAAGAATCAAATTATGACAATCTTGGGACGAAAAAAGTATAATCATCACAAACTTTCATTAATTCATTAATTAATTGATTAGTAACAGTTGATTGCGTGGGAACAACTAAACAAGTGGAGGGAGGATCCAAGTTGAGAGATAGAAAGAGACAAACGGAGAATAATGGTATTATGTGCTCTTGACGTGGCACCTCAAAAAAACATTTTTCGTCTTAATCTTCTTTTGGTTTCAATAACATGCATGGTTTTTAATTAAGTACTCCCTCCGCTTCGGACTCTGTCAAAGAACCAATTCAACCAAAAATTCAAGCTTATGGTTGTGACACTAGAAATGTTATTTATATTCTAATACGTCCCCTCACGTGTAGAAGTAATCTTTTTCAAGCTTTTCACGTGAAATTTTAAAATTTTTAAAATTGGGTGGCGTTGAGTTTCGAACTTCAGATCTATTAGTCAACAAGGCTCCGATACAATGTCAAAGAACCAATTCAACTAAAAGCTCAAACTTATAGTTGTGGCACAAGAAAGGTAATTTAGAAATCACCCAAAATAGGACTAAAACATAAAGAAAAGTACCAAAATAGTTCTATTTTGATACGGACTGATTTCATTGTCCCACACCGGTTAAATGAGAAACTTGGTGATGGGTTTATATACCCAAGGGTTCTCCCACCTTAACGGCTAGCTTTTAGGGTGTGGTTCTCCCTTGTGCTGTATCAATGGTATCAGAGCCAACTCGTAGTGGTGGCCTACGAAGTGGTGGCCCACGAAGTGGTGGCTTGGTGAAACTAGCCGTGACCAACGAGGACGTTGGGCCTTATGGGGGGTCGAATTATGCGGACTGATTTCATTGTCCCACACTGATGGTGTAAATTATCACGCAAAAATTAAGTGTGAGTAATCGGAAGGGTTGTAGGTGGAATCACCTGTAACCCGGTTTGTTATTAAAGATAATAGGAGTTATTACAAATACAAGCCGTGTAGGTTAATTAAAACATGCCTCACAAATGAGGCTTTTAAGGGTATTTATAATAATCCTAAGCACGTCAAGCACGTCTCTGATTATTCAACCGGTCAGGCAGCTGACCGGCCCACCAGGTGCACTTGAGTAAATCTTCGGGTATTGGCATCTGGTCTCCTCATCCAACCGGTCAAATAACCCAGGCTGCAAAAGACGCGTGTTGTTCGGTGAACCAACCGGGTGGTATCCTTGGGTTATTACCCATCAAGGAGTCCTCCGATTCCCGGCCCTGTGGGGACCACCAGGGGCGGGAAGCACATGCGATCATTTCCTGGAATTTGAACAGCCCAGTCGCTTTTCGGCGGGGAAATCGTCTCGGAAAACCAGCGCCAACCCAAAATATTTGAA